GTATCCCAATGGTATCAGTTTGTCAAAAACGCATCTCAGCACATTTGCTTTTTTGCATTTAATTCAAGGATTACAAATCCTATTATTCAGGAACTATAAGATCCAATAAAACTTATTTTCTTTTCACATACCTCTGGTGTGAACTGTTTGGGCTAGGATATAACTCCGTGGTAGAGCAGTGGTTGAGAATGTGCAAGGCCATGGGTTTGATGCTCACCAGTATAAACAAAAATTGTCTAATGTGAAGGATTTAGAATAATAAATTTACATTCAACTTACAGACAACTGATACAAGCTTTTAAACATGCTGTAGAAAGATTAACTGGAGATTTTTAAAAAAAATGTTTTTTCTTTGTTTTCCTTTATTTGAAATCTCTGAATACCTAAAATATGCTAGAACAATGTAGCTCTCTTAGGGGTGATTTCCACTATAGGTTGTATTCTTGTATTCCCTTTCTCTTCAATAAACATGCATTAGTTATCTACTGTATACAAAGTCTAAATCTCTAGAGTTGTTCACAATTGCTTATGATGGAAGGTCAAACATACCATTACAATGCCACATTATAAATGCTATAATAGTTTTGGCAACATATGATGGAAAATAGAAGAAGAGGCTAATTCAGTCTTAGAAACCAGAGGCTGACTCATAAAAGATGTGACTACTTTGGGCATCTTATTATATGACTTATGGTGCAAATATTCACAAATTTGGCTTGTACTTTCAGAGGAGGTGGTTGAATGAATCTTTAAGTAGAACCAAGCCTAATAATGGTAGGTTTAATTAGACTGAACTCTGTCCAATCTGAAACTTGATGGACAGGAGTACAATAAAAGGATCTCTTCTACCATGATAAAAGTAAATAGTATCCTGAATGAATATGAATACCTTGCATTAAAATAATCATCCTGAAACTTGAACAGTTTCCTTTCATTCCAGAAATTATAAAGAAACTTTTCCCCTGGCCTGGGGGCACATCATTGGCAAGGATTTCTGAAAGAATTTCTGGGGAGTGAAAAGTGGGTTTTTTCCTTTAAAACAAAAACTGTTAATTTCTCTGCAGAGCCCAATTCTTCTATATTCTTTGTCTCAGGGTAGTAAGTACAATGTGGTGATTAAAAGCAGGACATAAAGGATGAGTGAAATTGAAAATTTCTCCAAGGTTGGAGTGTGAGTGGAAGATGGTGCCATTAAGGAAGACAAAGAATGCACATGGGATTGGATTTGGAAGCTAAGCAGTTTTAAGGCTAGGTCTAGTGCTGAATAGCTTGAATGATGAGCAGATTAAGTGTCAGTGGCTTAGGGGAACTTGGACCAGTTTAGGTAGTATCTGTAATCAGTAAAATGTTGAGAATACCAGGAAGTGGCTTTCCTATAACTGAGATCCTTTGGTTATGGTTAGATATTGTCCATATCAGTTGGAGGAAGACTTGATAGGTTCCTGGAACATGAGCATAGTAGGAGGAGTTGGTAAGGCTCAGGATGTTTGGCAGCCTTGTAGTTAAAACTCCTAGTCAGTATAAGGGGACTGAAAGAAAAATCACAAAACCAAGGCAGGGTAGGAGCTTAGTGATAGAGCCCTAGCTTAGCATGTTCAAGGCCTTGGGTTCAGTCCTCAGCATAGCAAAAATAAAAGGGTGGGGAGACAAGTAAAGAATAAGTCAAGTCACCTGTACAAACATGGCAAGGCCAGGAATGAAGCATCAGTCCAGTGGAATGTAGGAATCTTATTTTTTTAGTCAGGACTCTGTGAAAACTATGTGTACAAAATGGAGGTATCTCAGGCTTATGATGAAATGAATTGTTTTTAATGTTAGGTAAGAATTTTTGAAACCCTTATGTCATTATTTAGAACTGGCTCAAGTATCAGCAAGTCTGAGTCTATAGGTTTGGGCAAAACTGGGACAAGTGTAATTTGTTCTAATATGAATGGAATGTCACGCATATTAAAATAAACATAATTTACATAATACATTGAATCATTAGAAGTATAGTCTACTGGCAAGGATCATATTCATCAGATTTAATATAAAATCACATGATGGTATTTGTTCTAGATTTCCATGTCTTAATTTCTGGAGTTCATGAAAATGTTACTATAAATGGCAAAAGGTACTTTGTAGATGTGACTAAAATTAAGGACCTCAAGATAGGAAGATTATTCTTTTTTATTAGTTGTTGATAGACCTTTATTATTTATTTATTTATATGTGGTGCTGAGAATTGAATCCAGTACCTTATACATGCTAGGCAAGTGTGCTACTACTGAGCCACAGACTCAGCAGGAAGATTATTCTTGGTTATCAAGGAGGTCCAATCTAATCACATGAGTCCTTAAAAATCAGAGATCCTTTGTTGGCTATAGTTAGAGAGAAAGATGGCAGCAGAAGAATGATTCAGTGGCACATCGCTACAGTTGGATTATAGGGAGCTGCTCTGTTTAAGTAAATAGAATCTGCCAAGAACCATAAAATCATCAAGGAAATATATCTCCCACCTAGACCATCCAGAAGGAATGCAGCCCTCCTAACATCATTAATTTTAGCCTGATAAGTCTAAGGTTAAGACTTCTCACCTACAGAACACATAAATGATATATTTGTGGTGATTCAGGCTACTATGTTTGTGGTAATTTGTTATGGTATCAGCATAAATCTATATAGTTTTGCTGTATGATTTTGAGGTTTGTAGATTATAAGCCCCTCATAGGAAAGCTTCCCTTTTCTCTTCTTTAAAATTGAGATTTGTTTCATAGGCTGGTTATAAGAAAGAAGGAGGTGATTCATAGTGGGATAGGGAGAGGGAATATGGGAGGAATAGATGAACTCTAGATAGGGCAGAGGGATGGGAGGAGAAGGGAGGAGGCATGGGGTAATTAGTGATGGTGAAATGTGATGATCATTATTATCCAAAGTACAGGTATGAAGACACGAATTGGTGTGAATATACTATGTATACAACCAGAGGTATGAAAAATTGTGCTCCATATGTGTAATAAAAATTGTAATGCATTCCATTGTTATATATAAATAAAAAATTTTTAAAATGTTATAAATAAGTAGAAGGAAGATAGTAGGGTAGAGAAAGGGGAAGAGGAGAAGAGAGGAGGGGCAGGAAAAAGGAAGTACTAGGGACTGAAGTGGAGTTAATTATATTCTATGCTTGTGTGAATTTGTCAAAATGAACCCAACAATTATGTATAATTATAATGTGCTAATAAAAATAAATAACTTCAGAAAAAAGAAAGAAATATTCAATGAGAGTTATATGATCACTTCTAGTGTTCAGTATAGAGTAAGAATACTATAAATGGTGGCTGTTATTATTTTTAAGGCTTAATTTTTAAAGCATTTTTAAATTCACAAAAATATTGAGAAGTACCTTCAGAGATATCCCATAAACAATGTATCCCACTAATGCAATTATTATCAACATCCAATACCAAAATGGTACATTTGGTATATTTGATGAACCTACATTAATGAATCGTTATCAAAGTCTATAGTTTGAATTAGAATTCACTCTTGGTGTTTACACTATGAGTTTTGAAGGCATGTTTATAAAACATTTATCTTTTCCCTTGATAAATTTCCTTTAAAGTTTATTCTGTCTGAAATTAATGTAGCTATACACTCTTTTGATTAAAATTAGCATGGCATATCTTTTTCCATTCATTGATTTTTATCTATATATATGTTTATATTTAAAGTGGTTTTGCTTTTTAGACAATATATAGTAGGATCCTATTTTTGGTCTGTTCCGACAATCTCTGTCTTTTTTTTTTAAAAGAATGATTTTTTTTAGTTGTCCGTGGGCCTTTATTTTTTATTCATATGCAGTGTTGAGATTTGAACCCAGGGACTCACACATGCCAGGCAAGCTTTCTACCACTGAGCCACAATCCCAGGCCCCTCTGTCTTTTAATTGGTGAATTTAGACCTTTGCCATTCATAGTGGATATTGCTATAGATGGATTAAACCTGTCATATTTGTAACTGTTTTATATTTGTTACCCTTGTCCTTTGGTCCTTTTAAAAATATTTTTTAGTTGTTGATGGACCTTTATTTTATTTATTTATATGCAGTGCTGAGAATTAAACCTGGTACCCCACACATACTAGGCAAGCACTCTACCACTGAGCTACAACTCCAACCCCTTTGGTCCTACATTGTCTTCACTCATTTTTTTCTGCTTTGTCATTTTAATTGAACATTTTATGTGATTCCTTTTTTCCATTTCTTAGTATGTCAATCATACTTCTTTTGTTAATTGTTTTAGTACTTATCCCAGAGTTTGCAAGATACATTTACAACCAATCCACTCGACATTCAGATACCACTATAGTGTGAGTACATTATAATAACAAAAAAACCTAATTTCTATTTCCCATCCTTTTTATTATTGTTATCATTCATTTCAATTATGTATAAGAATACACACACACTCATATATATCTATTTGTATGCACAAATATACACACATACATATGCATACAAGACAAATACACATAATATATATATATACATATGTATAATATATTGTTGCTATTATTTGAACAAGTGTTTATCTATTAGATCAATGAAGAATAAGGAAAGTAAAAGTTTTTACCTTTACCTATTCCTTTCTTTGGTGTACATGAGTTTCTGACCTATATTATTTTCATTCTCTTTAAAATTCTTTTAACATTTCTTGAAAAGTGCATTTATTGGCAATAGATTTTATAAACCTATTATTTTGGGGATACTTGTTATATGGCAATGTATAATTGGAATACTACATTCATGTGACAAGTGATTTTTTTCTTCATGATTTCTAAGTGCCCATGGGCATCCATGACCATAGAGTTTTGTAATGCTGGATGATGCTTAGCAATATAGGTGTTAAGCCACATTTTAGAATCATCTTTGAAAGTTTAAAAATCTCTTTGAAGAGAAGAAAAAGTTGAAGAGAGCTGAAGAATAATAACTAAGGAGGTTTCTTTTTTGTTTGTTTTATTTCTGAGCTTAGGTCAAGTGTAGAAACCTTCATAGTTACAAAGTTCAGCAGTAAAACTTTTTCCATCATTGCTCATGTTTCTAATCAGAGATATGACACTAGAAGAAGAATTGCATAGAATGTACTCTGAATAAAAGTAAAATTTTCTTACATTAATGTTGTCACCATAATTTAATCATATATTATTTTCTCAGCTAGACATCCTTGTTACTCACCTTTAGCTTTCTTACTACCATTCCTTAAATTGTGTTGTCCTCTCTTTTTGAAAGGCTTCTCTACTCTTGAATTACTTGATGAATACCTACTTATTTTATGAAGGCTAGCTAAAATACCACCTCTCCCAGCAAAACATCTCTTGATTCTCTCAGTCAAAATCTCTGTTTATGCCTGTATATGTGATGATATCCAAATTAATGAATGGGAAGAATAAAAAATATTCACCGACTTGGATAAATAAGCTATAGGGATACAGATTTGTCAAGTGGCCTAATGATAATACCAAATGTATTTATATATGTACACATACATATTTAAAATGACATTCATAAAACATTGGTTGTTTTAGAAATATTACTATGTTCTATTTTCAGTTTTTTAAACAATATTATTCTAACTCTGCACATGTGCTTTCAGAATCATTGTCTTCATGATCACTGAACTCAACTTCTTTTGGGCCTCCTATATAGTTTCCCCAAAGATATCATCTTTGCTTCAATCTATGTGGTTCCAGATATACCTTTTCCTATAATGTTGCTGCTACAAGTTTTAGTCCAAGCTACCAAAATTCATTCCTATGTGAGTAGAACAATGTTTTATTTTCCATTTTCCCTTTAATGTATATTAATGATTTCCACAAATTAACCATGTATTATTACTTGCAAATGTAAGGGTACATGCCCCAGGATTCATTATTGAATCTAGGTCGAATGTATTTTCCTCTTTAAAACATGATTGTTTTAGCTGAAATTGGTTGATATTTATCTAAAACAAGTATTTTCAATATTGCCTATAGCTTAGAATCACCCAAAGAATATTAAAAACTACAAGCAAAGGATCCTGGGGCAGGGGACTTCTCAGAATTTTAATTGAATTGCTGTAGGAGAGAGTCTCAGAATTTTAGTTTTTGAAACATTCCCAGATGTTTCTAATGTGGAATAAGAATTGAGAACCACTGACCTAAAACTAGTATTGGTAGAGCAGTAGTTCTCAAAATGAGGTCCTCAGACCAGCAGCATTAGTGTCACTTGTGTATTTCTTAGAACTGTAAATGCTCAGGCTCTAACTCAGACTTGCTGAATCCCAAACTCTATGGGTGGAGATTAGCAGTCTAGATTTTGACAAACTCTACAGGTGATTTTGATGCTGTAGATTCATGGGTTTAGGCTAACAGGACTTTCTTGTATAGTACTTTATTGTTCAATGTCTATTTATTGATTATATATATATATTCATTCTATCAGGTAGATATACTTTGGGGAAAATGGCCTTTTTTGCATTCATGTATATGTAATAATCTGTCCTGAATGCCTACAGTTCTTTAACTATACATCTTTTAGGTATGACCACTTTCCACGTTGCAGTAGTTTCTTTCTTATTTTTCCCTCTAGGCTAAATATTCTAAGAAGGATCCAAGGTCAAGCAAGAGTATAAAGAATGGGGATTATGGATTTATCCACAGATAGAGGGTGGCAAATTAGATGACAGTGATTAGAGAATACCTCAAAATATTTATGCTCTCAGCCTCCCTCTGTCATGAAGTTTAGTTGTCCACTTATTGCTTCCTCTGTCATTCTTATTTTCCCTCATTTCTGTAATCATAATGTAGAAAGATAAGGTAGTATTGTACTCATTTCATTTTAATTCCAAGTAATGAGAAGTGGGTTGGTTATATCACAAGGCATGGCCAACTCTGTGTACCTTTAAAAGGTAAGCAAGTGTTCTCTACCTGCAGGCACTAACTATGGGATCATATGGGTAGATGCATAAAAATGTGTTTTTTCTCTATCTTCTTTAGACATTGTGTTTATAGTTAGCAGTAAACAATTATGTACATAAAATTTATTAACAGGGTAAATCTCATATTCTGTTCTTAACACACACACACACACACACACACACACAGAATCACAAAGGGACACATACAAGAAAATTCTGGAGGTGATAACATTTATTGCCTGGATTGGGTGATAGCAACATGAATGTACACATACGTACAAACTTACCAAATTTCATATTTGTCATGAAATTTTAGTATAGCAATTATACCTAGAAAATTATATCTTAACAATCATAAGTAGAAAAAATACATTTTAGGACAGTGCCATTCACCAAGGTTTTCTTAGGGCCTAAGTAGAGGCAAGTAAGACCCCTAAAGCACAAATCTCCTTTTTAGTGGTAATTTTAGAATTCAGCCACACAAACCTTCTTCAGTTGTACACATAAAAATACGATGTTTTAATGTTACCTCAAGGCTTTAATATAGGAATTGTAAACCTTTGGTTTTCACACTGGAGAAAGAATCAGTAATAACTTTAAAATACCCTTGAGTTTCCCTCTGCTCATTTATCTCCCAGATCTATACTTCATGTTTTCTTTCACTGATATCCTTTTGCTTCTAATAATTGACTTCTGAGATTAATAAATTCTTGAAAGCATAAGAAAAAATGAAAATTCGTCTCCTTGGGAACAGGGGCAAATATTTTTTTAAGAGAGCAAAATGAAAAGATGCAGTTATTGTTTTTGAAGCCAGCAGCAGATTGTGTTAGCAATAAAGGAGAGTTTCTGAGATGCTTAATGGAATTGAAAGTTCTGTCTTTGCTTTCTCTGTCATACTTTGCCTGTCCTTTCAACACCATTGGTGTGTTTTATAAACATGAAAAACAAAACAACGAAGCCCTTAATTGCTGTTAAAACAAGCTGTATGGAAAATACAAAATTGATGATGTATGTACTAAGCATTCATTACTCTGTAATAATATTAGAAGAGAACAAACACCTCGAGATGAGACCAATTTTGAACATTTTTTCCCTTGGGGAATGTACTCAGGAACTATCCCTTGAGTTTTCATGAGTGAATTGAATTTCTTAGAAAGGGTAATGAGTAGCTGGGCATGGCGGTGCATGCCTATTCTCCTAGGTGACTCAGGAGGCTGAGGCAGGAGGATTGCAAGTTCAAAGCCAGCCTCAGCAACTTAGCAAGACCCTGTCTCAAAATTTAAAAAGGGATGAGGATGTAGCTCAATGGTAATGTGCCCCTGGGTTCAATCCCCAGTACAAAAAAATGTAATGGGAATCTAGAATGTAGTTCTCTGCTAAGTATCAAATAAGAGTCTTGCTCAAAATCATTTGAACCTGCTTCTAGTTGCCTTCTAGTGACCCAAAAATGGAAGTGGTAAAGACTACATTACTCAAGTTCTTTTGCAGCTGATGTTCTTCATGTGATCTAGCTTCTACCAAGACAACAAAGATTGGGAAGGCAGAAGCAAGCACCGTATGGCATGACTATGCAACTCTTTTGATAGGCAAGATGGTAGAAGCATTTGGTTCTTCAGAGGCATGTAAGGAAAGGTATCTTTGCCCAGTCCCAGCTTCATGGGTCTCCAGTGGAGAGCACTGGCAAAGACAGCATCTGGAGATTCCATGAAATACTCCTGTATTATGTTGGAGTTTCTTAAGGTTTTGTTGCTGCTGGCTATGTATTATCCAAGCTCATTTTCTTAGCCAATGTCAAACCTCTGGCCTCTATACTTCGGATGGAAAATTTAGAACCCAGTAAAATTTTGAAATACTAAGAAAGAAAGGAATATCATGAAAATGAGCGCACTTTGAAAGGAATAAAGCACCATTCTCTGTGTGCTTCTCTACATTACATTAAACTCTGGGGCACCCTTGCCCTTCTGTAGTTCTCTCTTTACATATCACCATGTATCTTGGATCTACATGATTTATGGAGTCTCTTATGCTGAGTTGGCATGCAGACTCCACCTCTCTTACTAGATGTGTGACCTTGGACTAATCACCATTCCTCCTGGAACCCACATTGTAAAATTATACCTTCCCTATTAATATACAGTCATATTATTTTTTATTGACTGAATCAGTTAAATAGGTATTTTCATTTATTTAGGTTGCTCTATTTTGCCATCAAAACAAAGCTAACTTAACCACTTCATACATTCACACACACACACACACACACACACACACACACACGCCTACACACCTACTTGGTTTCCTCTATTGATGAAAGTACTTGCAATTCATGTTGACCCAAATTCCCTTATTGTAAGTATCACTGGGTTTCAGGAAGGGCCAGTGTCACCTAATGCACTGATGTTTATCACATAGGCTACTGAAAAGGTACCCATGAAAGAAGATGGATAAGACAAGTGGAGAGGCAAGAAACCTGATAGAACCTAAGTGTGTGTGTGTGTGTGTGTGTGTGTGTGTGTGTGTGTGTACATTCATACATGTGTGTGGGAAATAATTGAGTCTTTTTTCTTTTGGTTGTAAATCATAGAAGCTTAAATAAATTGATTCTAACTATTTTTAACTAATTCATTGTATATGAATTGTACATGAATATGAATGGGGAAGGTGTAATTTTATAATGTCAAAATAGAACAATTTTTAAAAAATAAAAAGATAAGTGTTCCAAAAATGCTTGCAAAAAGGAAAAGAGGTTTTATATCCACTTCCAGTGATTTTGAATTTGTTAATTAGCTAAATTTAACAATCTCAAAATGTATATATACTTTAAACATCATATTGCACAAGATGGAAACATAAAATGTCTGTCAGTTAAAAATAAAAAATACATTTTAAAAACTAGCTGCAATATAAATGAGAAGGGACAGGGAGGTATACCAAGTAGCTAAAGAGGTAGCCATTTATAAAGTCTATGGTGGCTAAAAAGATCTCTTATCAAGTCTAGATTTTTAAGGACATTTTCAAAAGAAAGATGTAATATAGAAGAAGTCATAATCAGAATTACTCAATATCTATATTAGGTTTTTCTTTTATTTAGAAGAGAATGGTCCTAAAAGCAGACAGAGTGGAATAGAAATTATTAAGA